TGCTAATGGATAAAAATACAAAGTATTTGAATTGACAACATAAGAATTGTATCCTTCTAAACAACCGTGTGATATAATGTTTTCTTTATTTAATATTTCCTCACACATTCCACACGTTTGAACAAATTCATTATCCTAAAAATTATTATTATTATTATTTATTGAATTACAATATTAATTATATGTAATTAACATCTGCATATATTAATAATATATATGTATTAATATATATAATATAATCAATATATATTATTATAATGATTGTTATCTATTGAAAATTATAAAATGTATTATATCTGTATAAAACAAAAATGTAGTATGTCTGATAGACTTTTATACTTCGAGGAATATCATTTTTAATTAATTGCTTGATCAATCCTTTTTGCTTTTATTTTTTTATAATAATGAATAATAACAATTAATTATAATAATAAGATTTTATTTTATTATTTTTGTAGTCTACTCATCACAATATGTAATAATATATATTAAGTTTTATCTAAATGAATGAGATATATTTTGCAATCTCAGTTTCTAAATTTTGCTTTTTATTATAATGATAAAAAATTAATGATTACAATATAAAAGTTTAAATTACTTAAATAACTGATATTTAAATAACTCCTCGAGGTTAGAAAGTCTATCAGACATGCTGCATTTTATTCTATACAGATATAATACAATTTTATAATTTTGAATAAATAAAAATAAATTAAAAATACTTCTCAAGATTAGGAACTGATATTTTACTTACACTTTGATATTCCATTTTGAAATATATATTTTTTCTCTTATTTTTACACAGGCAGACACAACCGCATAAGCATTAGATACATATATATAAACAAGGCACATTCTTTTTTTTCATTTTTATTGTTTTTTTACAAGACACGTTGAATTTGACGCTGAAGCTGAGAAAATTCAGCTTCGTTTTTTTGACGCTAGCGTCAAAGTCGAAGTCACGTGACTACGCGTAACGCTGAAATGAGCGTCTCATGAATTTGCACCTTAACGTTCGCTAGCTCTTTCGTGTACAAAATGTTCATCTGCGAGAAAAATTTTCCCCATATACAAAAAAATATAAAACAAAGAGAAATTTATAAACATAGTTCAATAAAATTAATCATTGCTTTTTGTTAAAATATGTCTCAAAATTATGTTTTCCGCTCAGCAAACGAGAATGGATTAAAATAGATTGAAAATATTCATTTCAACGTTTGCGAATACATACTTCTAAAAATCTGAATCCATTTCAATGCCCAATGCCTTAATTTATGCTTATTCATTTATATAGGAATTGCATGAAGCACATTTTCTATATGCTATTCAATAAAAAAAAAATTCTTTAAAAAGTAAATCATGAATACTAATAGTTAATTCAAAATTCTAAATAGGAAATGCAGTTTTTTTAATCTAATTAAATTCAAAAAAAGTTTTTCCGTGAAAATAGATCATGAATGTTATTCAATTAAAAATTGTGACTAGGAAATGCATTGTTTCAATCTATCTAAATCCAAAAATATTATATTATATTTGTATTATAAAAAAATAAAAATATATTCATTTCCATGGAGGTCAAATCCATTTCAATTTATAAATTCAAAAATTTTAATCCTTTTCCGTTTACTGGGCGGATACTAATTGTATAATTGTAAGGTAATAATTGTAAGGTTATTTTGGTATAATTTTATTAAATTTAGTAAAAAAAATTAAATCCAACGATCTTTGCATGCTTCAAATTGCCTAAAATGCATACACTTCTTTGGCGTATGCCAAAGTATTTCTAAATGCACGTTCTCGCTAATAATTATTATTAATTTATGTAATTGTAAACACAAGTACGAATTTCTTGCAAACACTCAGTTTCATGTATATATTTCTACGAAAATCACACAAAAGTACATACAATAGAACTCTAGCCAAACATAAACCAGAGGATGACAAAACAGTTCGATTCTGATAATTTGGATAATAGATCTTACTTAATTAGTAGTTTCGATAATGGGAGCTGATGTACTTATTAATTCCGATAATAAAAGCTATTATTTTTTAATTCCGATAATAAAAGGTATTATTTTTTTACAAAAAACCAGGGTTGGGTAAGTTAATTTTTTTTAAACTAAGTTAAGTTAAAGTTAACAGCCTAAAAATTTAACTTAGTTAAGTTATAAGTTAATCCATAATAAAATTAATTGAATTAAAAGTTAAGTTAATAAAAAAAAGTAATTGAAAAGTTAAAAGTTAAATTTTTTATTTCTTGATTTCAAGGTTTCAATTTTTATAAATAACATTAATAGTTTTTTACGTTACTCCGCGATTCCATAATCCCTGTAATCAGAGACTAATTGAGACTAATCACTTTGACACACCAAATGTCTTCTGCACAATTTACACCCCAGCGCGATGTTTGTTTGTCGCACGTGACACGCGACAAACCCAATGAACACACAGGGTTGTGACGGTTGCGTTCAGAAATTCACGGTACATTATTTTATTCTTGTTATTCACTGAATGTTAAATAGGAATAAAATATCTAGATGCACCTAGACGAAGTTTCTAAACGCAGCCCAAAAGTCATTACTTGTAGGCAGGTGTGCGGCGTCTTATGACGACCTTATTTATAGTTAACTTCAAAAATGTTATATTATAAGTTAATAGTTATAGATAAAATTTAACTAAGTTAAGTTAAAAGTTAAGAGTCAAAAATGTAACTAAGTTAAGTTAAAATTATTTAACTTTTTAACTTTTTATTAACTCGGTATTACCCAACCCTGCAAAAAACTAAAGTCAAGTACGCGTCGAGCTGTTAGTATCCGAACAGCTCATAATAAAAACTTAACACGTACACATGCCAATGCGAAACGCGGAACATTTCGATTAAGTTCAAGGACGGGACTCAGACGTGATCTAATTGAGAGTCACCCACATCTCATTGAGAGAAACAAATAATTCTCTATCGAGCGGCGGGAAATGATACCCGCTGCGTTGTCATTGCAATTGCAGATTACGTGAATATTCGTTAAACAGAGGTCAATGTTTACGGAATAATCGGATTCGCGCGACAAAGGCGACTGCATAAACACGCGCGCGCGCGGATTAAAAAGCCGCGGTGACCAACGCGCGGCGAGAGAAAGTGCAGCCTTTTTCAAGAGCGAGCGTTATTACGTTACGTTGAAACGTGTGAACTGCGTGCCAGCAGCATATGTCTATATTATACAATATTATCAGGGTCGTGCTTATCAGTAGGCGTTACGTTGGAGGTCCGTTTACTCGTGTGAGATCACTTAGTGAGCGGGGAGATCAATCGTTCTACAGTGCGTTACATTTCTTGCTGCTTAAGTTATTATAGATTTGCCTATTATCCAACGGTAAGTATCTCTCCGCGTGTTTTTTTAATATCCGTTTCACCGTATCTGTCCGAATTCCAAGCGTCGCGCCCGAAGCTGAATGCATCCCTGAGTCATCTGTCATTAACTACTTATATCATTATGGTCCCAACGCGAGCGCGCTTATTCCCCAGTAGACGACAAACGGTCACTCTGTTAAGATCTCTCCAATAAAATGAGGTAATGTTCTCGATTGACGATTTTGCCAAGTTAACGATTAGTGTGTGCTAAAGAATTAATCGGAGTTTTGTTTGGAAAAAAATAAATTTATCGATTAGAACAATAATAACGTTTGCAGCTGTGCTTCTAAATTTTCCAATTACAATCGCTGTTCTATTTACACTATTTTTCTGAATATATTTTACGTAACATTTACAGCTTCTGCAATGCATGGAAAATTTATTGAAATGTAGTTGAACTTCGTTTATCCGCACTTTATACAAAGTTTATGGTCAGTTCAAAATAAATATACGAGTTCATAACTGACAATGAGTTTTTATTATCCGAACTTCGAATAAAAATTCGACTCGATTTCAGTTTTCTGTAAACATCAGCTCCTATTAGCGGAACTAATTAGTGTGTCAGTTCCTACTATAGAAACTATTAAATGAGTCTTTATCATCCGAATCTTGTTCTCCGATATATATATATATATATATATATATATATATAATGTACATATATATGTAGTTCGGATAAATGGAATTCTCCTACTGTATGTGAATACGTTTGTGTGATTTTCTTGTGGAAGAAAGTGTTTATGTAATTGCTAGCTTGTAAAACAAGTTACATTGCGCGAACAGACCTCTGATAAATATACACTATCGCTCGTTGGATTGCGTTATTTCATCGGATTCTTCGAGAATAAAGCTAATGCACCTAAAAAGTTAAATGATACTTTTTCGTTACCGCCTTTGTATTATATGAAATAGATATGTATTTATACGGACAATTCAGTTTGTATATGTAAATACACATGTCATCGAGGTTTTTAATCTCATTCGATAACGTCACAATAAAACGAGATAAATAGTTTGCTGACCGAATGAGTGATGGAATTTCACAATTGAGAAATCTGATTCTTCGAGAAGAGTACGATTAATGGCAATTTGTAGGGAAATAGTCAACAAGTTTTAACGGAAAAAGATATTACATAAGTATAATTTTATAAAATTGTTTCTCTATTGAAACGAATTCATACCCAGACAGCACAGAGAGTTCAAAAAGAATTCATTCGTATATTCAGTTGTATGTCATCACTTCTGAGTTAATTTTCAGTTGCAAAAAGAATTCTTTTTCAAAACTTCTAGAAAAAGAATTCCTTTTGCATCTGAAAATTAACTTAAAACTGACAAGATACGACTGAATTCTTTTTAAATTCTCTGTGTTATTTGAATAATCTGTAATAGAAAAATGGATGATCTGTAATTTGAGCTACAACTCGAATTATGATAACGTATATAGCTATACGCTTCATCAATTCACGAGATCACTAATTTATTTAATTAAATTCGAGAGCGCCTTCTGCGGTCACGGCTGGATTTTGATGCCTAACGAATTCTATATTTCAGACTTGCAACGCAATTAATAGCTGAGGTTGGAGATCTTTTCAGTATTTTAAGATGCTTATAAGCATCGATTTATTAAAAATTAAAAATCAATATGATATCTTTGTTCCAACCACAGCTATTGATTGCGTTGCAAGTCGGAAAATTTATTCGGTGCGCAGTTGAACGGCTGAACATGGAGTTAAGAAATTCATATAGAATTCGTTAGGCACCAAGATCCAGCTACCAGCTATGACCGCAGAAGGCTCTCTCGAATTTAGTTGTGTTATTATTCACATAGTCTAGTTCAAATTATAATTATTGACTAATTTATTTGATAGTTTGTAATTTTTTAAAGTTTTATTTTGGAAACTTCGCTCTTCGAAGTAATCACGACGAGATCATGCATTTGTTTTCGCAGTAACACGCGCAAGAAGATGTCACACTATCGGCCTTGGGGCTCGATAGACAACGGTCAGATAGAGTTCGAGTCCTTGTCGGACGAGACCCTGGAGGGTGCTCTCGAGGTGATACGAAAGACCTTCTTCCTCTATGAATCCGTATCCATAGCCGTGGAAATGAATTCCGAACCGGGAGCATGTGCGGAACTCGAGGAACTCTGTTTATATGCGGCTAAAGACGGCGTGAGTGTGGTGGCTATCGATATCACCACCAACGAGGTTATCGGCGTAGCGTTTAACAAACTCCAAGTGAGTTGTCTTTCCTAAATTATCTTTCCTACAGTAAAATATTCTGTATAATAATCAAGAATTGATTTCTGAGATATTGAGAAAATAGATTATATACTACATATACAATCTATTATACAGTCGCATCTCAAGGGAAGAGAAAAATCCTTCGAGTTATAGAGTTTTCGACTTATCGAAATTCGAATAAAAGATGATTAAAATATGAAAATTTGACTTACGGAGGTTTTATACGTAGAGTTTAAAATTTTTCGATTACAATGGCTTTTAAAGGAAAAAAATCAATATTTGACGGTGAATTATTTAATTATTGCATACATATAATAAATGTAAGTAATCATAAAACAAAACCAGGCTATTACTTATGGTTACACATATATAGCTACAACTTCGAATTATAGAGGCAGCGACAATAGAAATTCGATTTATAGAGATGAACTTTGACTTGTAGAGATCTGGCTACTTTAAATTCGAGTTGCAAAGGTAAAATAATACATCTAAATATCTGATAATAATTCGAATTAATTAGGGTAGATTATATTTCGATTTATAGAAGTTTTCTGCAGTGGAGCGGAACAGGATGAACAAAATTTTCTTCTTATAGAGGTTTTCAAATTGTAGAGGTTCGAGTTATCAAAGTTTGACTGTATAATCTATTTATATACATAATTTGTAATAATGTAATTAGTGTTAAAACTTTTACAACACGCGATTATTGACGTGTTGTCATACCTCAAGTTTTTGACGGCTGCTCTTTAATTTTCCAGGTGTCCACCGACAGCTCCGAGAAAAGCTTCTTCGAGCGCTTCAGCGACAATTGCCGGTACAAATCGTCGAAGGCTCTGATGGACTTCATGATAAACGTGGATTCGCGAATAAATCTCTTCAAGCACTACTACGTCAACTGCATTCTCGAGATCATGTTTCTGGCGACGCTGCCTACCTATGGAAAACGAGGAATAGGCGAAATGCTGATCACCTCGTCGTTGGAACTCGGTAAGGAGCTGAGACACGGGAAAAACGTGAGGATACCCGTTACAATACGCGGCAGCAACGAGTTGACGAACGCCGACGCGGTGCCGACTTTAGCCTCCGCTATTATGACGTCCTTTTACTCATATCGAATCGCGATGAAACTGCACTTCGACAAGCTGTTGGAAGTCTCGTACGACGAGTTCGAGTACAACGGGAAGAAGTTCAGCGAAAAAATAAGTCAGGTACATCGAAATATCTGTGTCTTGGTAGCCAAAAGACTCTCCCCGATTTAGGTAACAATCTTTGCGAGTAACTTTACAGGGACAGAGAACTGTCTCGCTTTGCGGAATTCAATCGGATTTAGGAATAATATAAATTAGGAATAATAATATAGGTCCTGCCTGCACTAAACGTCGCAAGCACGTTACTATAACATACTAACTCGTCACATGTTATGGAGACATCTTTAATCGTTGATCGCGTAACTGCCAAATTTATTAGATAAAAAATAGTAGTTTATTAAAAAAACAAAAAAACTTTAATAAAAAATTTATTTTCGAAACAGGAATCACAATACATGTGTAGAAAATTCGATAAATAGCTGATTAATTAAAACAAATTATTTGATCATTGATACGTTACGTCGTTGCGACATATGAAAGACATGTCATTTTCTGCGATTTTGCGATAAAAATAGCACGTTTCTTTCACATATTGTGCAGGCAGAGGAGTATTATTTTAATGTAATAGATATGCATGTATTTGTACAGCACAGCATATACAGTCATCGAGGTCGTCTTTAATTTTTCTCGACAACATTCAAAACGCGATAAACAGCCTGCTGTTCCGAATGAGCAATTGAGAAATTTAATTATTCAAGAAAAGTGTAACTGCAATTTTTAGAAAAATAGACAAGTTTTAATACAAGAAGAATTACAAAAGTTTAATCTAAAAGTGCTCAAAACAAACCGGTAATCTGAAGAAGAAAAATAGTCTGCGCTCTTCAAACTGTAACTCAAGTTATGAGTGAATAACGTAGTTGTACGCACGAGATCATTATTTAATACTTTGTAATTATTAAAAGTTTCGTTTTAGGTTCCGCTCTTTGAAATAATTTCAGAATCGCATAGTGTGAGAAATAATGTATTATTATTTATTAATATACAGGGTGTCCGGTACTCAATGCCTAGTAAACGAGAAAGAATTTTAATATAAATTAAAATTTTTTAATTCGTGGATTAAAATGGATTATTATATTATAATTAATTGTGAATAGGACAAAAATTGTGACTAGGAAATGCATTGTTTCAATCCATCTAAATCTAAAAAATATTTTTATTGGATTTAAATGAATAATATTCATGGTCCATTTTCACGAACAACTTTTTTTGAATGTAATTAGATTGAAAAAACAGCATTTCTTATCTAGAATTTTGAATTAACCAGTATTCACGATTTACTTTTTATTGAATTTTTTTGGATTGACTAGCATAGTACATGTGATTCATGTAATTTTTATAAATGAATACAAAAACATTGGACATTAAAATGGATTCAGATTTTCAGAAGTATGCATTTGCGAACATTGAAATGAATTTTTTAAAATTTATTTCATTCTTGTTTACTGGGTGGTAAAGCGCTCGTGGGCAGATAGAGTGAATCGAAAAGTGCTCTACTATTTTGCGATCTTCGCAATAGTTATCGAGATATTAATCATTTTAAAAAAAAGTTTACGCCAAAAGTATCGTACATTACATATTTCCTAAACCAAAAATATTATTTTAACAAATAAAAGTTGTCCAAAAACCAATATGAGATCACATACAAGTTGCCAAGTATTTGATTAGACATAGATACAAAATTATTTTATTTCAAACCAAAAATATTTTTTTAATAAATTGTTTAAATTATTCAAAAGTATATACTGCAAAAGTTTAATGTCATTGTCATTCCCAATAATTTTAAATTTCATAAAACAGATTTAAATTGACTAAAATGACCAATGGTTTAAGAAAGATGTAATGTACGATACTTCTTTATACATTTGGTGTAACTTTTTTTTAATGATTAATATCTCGATAACTATTGCGAAGATCGCAAAATGATAGAGAATTTTTCGATTCAGTTTACTCCACTTTACCTACCCATGAGCACTTTACCATTGAGTACCGGACACCCTAACATCTGTTATTATTTCTAAATATCAAAGATTTGTAAGATTGTTTGATGTTTATTTCTGTACTAAAGCGTTCTTAATCTTAAATATATACACATCAAGGTCTCCAGGACTAGCGCAACTTGTTGAATGAGATTTTCTCACGTTTTTGGACTTTCTCTTTTTTTAAAACTCGTATATCACGAAGTTTCTTAATTTTATCGACTTTTATAAATTATGAGTCTGTTTCTCAATTCTTGATTGAAAAAAAATTAATTAAAATATGTCCATTTTTGCTAGAGTTATGATAACAAATGGACCCCAGTGTGTATATATACTTTACATAGACAAAAAAGGAATGTGTATATCATGGGTTAATTTTTCTTATCAGCTTGTTCACGATAACATTTTTTGTAAGTAAAAATTTCAAGATAAAGAACATATGCTGCATAGTTGTTTTTTATCGATGCGTCAATATAAATGCATCACAACGGAAGGAAATTGTTACTGCGTTCTTGAAGTAATATGTGAATAAAATTATAATAATATAAACACAGGATGATACACAGACATGTGTTACGTTATGACATAGAAAAACGTAAGTCAAATGTGGAAGAATATACCGGAAATTTCATTCACATGTGATAGTAATGATATAAAATTGGTCGTATCCTATAATATTATATAATGTAAGTATTATATAAAGTACATATTTTATAGTTTCATGCTTGTTGAAGTCACGTAACGTCATGTTTATGAAGTTGCACAATGTTACTTGCCGTAATAAATATTGTTGATTCAGCATATTTTACGAACAATCGGATATTTGACTCAAATATGCGAATACGCTGAATAAAGGTGCAAATTCATGAGACGCTCGTTTAATTAGCGTTAAAGCCACGGCACACAGAAAAGCTTAATCAAAACTCAGTAAGACGTAAAGAAATCAACATGTTGAATTTTTGGTAATCATGTGTGACTTCGACTTTGACGCTAGCGTCAAAAAAAGAAGCTGGATTTTCTCAGCTTTATAGCGTCAAAGGCTGTTGTTATTTTGTTCGGAACATTTTAGATATACGAATTATACGATTGACGTTAAACTTGATATTGCCGCTTTTCGTGCAAGCCAACTATGATCACGTAATTTTGACGCCAAAAATGAGCGTCGAGCGTCAGCATGAAAAGGCACCTTAATTCTTTTAGAATAATTCTCTTAATAATCTTTGTACAGTCTTTGTCTTCTTCCTGTTGATTTAAACAATTGCTAATCGACCAACAATTAGTTACTTATGTATTTAATAAATCAATGTTAATATATTAAATATTATTGTTAAGATATTTGTTTAAAATTCATTTATATATAATTCTATAATTTGCAACACTTTAAAATATAATTCTATATTTTATGTATAATAATACAAAAAAAAATCATCAGAAGAGTCAGAATATAATAATATGCATGTAAAAAGTATATATTAAAATATGTCGAAATACGCGTGGCATATAAATTATATATAGAAAAAATTCTATTTCTCTCGATGTCTAATGTGAATTATAGATCTAAAGCGAACTTTACTTTACACCTGTTAAAATATATTGCGCAAATGCTGCAAGATTGTAGTTGTTAGTGTAATGCACCGTTTTAAACAATGTATTGTATGCAATTATTAAGCAGAATAAAAATCAGACTACCTATTTCACTGCAGAAGTTTAATAAATCAGATCTGTAATCAGACTCGCGCATCTCGTCTCCGTTTCTCGTGGAAATCAGATCTATCGGCGATAAGGCGCTAAATTTTCCTACGTATCTACTGTATAGTAAAGCGATAACGATAACGAGGAAGTCGGTGCGACGCTTTCCAACGGTATACGAATAGTCCGGCGTACGCGCGACTGGCGATTTATTATTAATCTCGCTGCGTTGTCGCGCTTACGATAGTGTGCCCGTAATCAAACGGAACGTGCACAATGGGGAGTGACTCGCGATGCAGTTTTTATCTTCCCGGCGTAACCCTTGCGTCCCGTCTCGACGACAGACACCGTTCGCGAATCTCGACGTGGTAAGATCGCTCTCGTCCGGTGCTTCAAAATGAAGTTTCGCCTTGCTTTACGTTCCCTCGCTCCTCGGCCCTCATCAATGAAACTTTTCTCCGTAGATTCAGAATTAATGTAAAAAAAATTTGTACGTCATATCAGATACAAGGAACGCGCGTGTATTTTAACAGTTGCAAACACCTGCCGCGAGTTGAAATAGTTCATATACAAAATATGACGGGGCAGCGAAATACTCAATTCGCAGATATTTTTTCTATAACTATCTTTTCGAATATATTGTTCTTACTTTCTCTCACTTGCAACTAGCATTTAAAATATTCCGGATCTAGCTCAGAAAACACCAAGTTACATGTAACGTATTTGTTAGTTGTAATTTCCAATTCAACAATATAACTATAATATAACATGTTATATTATGTTATAATATAACTATAATATAACATGTGTTATATTAGGTGTTGTATTATAACTATGTGTTATAATGTAACTATAACATAACATGTGTTATATTAAGTGTTATAATATAACTTAATATAACATGCGCTATATTATGTGTTATAACTATGTGTTATATTATAACACATAGTTATAACACATAATATATAACGAGGGAACGATATAATATAACTATAATATAATATGTGTTATATTATAGTAATATAACATGGTTTATATTATGTGTTATATTACAGTTATGTTGTTGAATGGGAAATTACAACTAACAAGTACGTTACGTGTAACTTGGTGTTTGTTGGGACGACTTCGTACTCGATTTTGTGATCACGCTTTGATAAAACGTTCACACTTTAAGAATCCATCTCCTTCTTGAGAACACATGAGGAAACAACCGTCTTAAGGATCTCCCTCTCTTCCTTTCCTATTGGACTCGATACGACGCTTGATGAGGAAAAAAGAATAGGAACGGGATGCGCAAGACGAGCGTGATAAACTTGCGCGTGTATCGATCAGCTATAGTGATGCCGCGGCTATTCTTCCAGACAAATCCCCAGAACGCACCATGCCCGTCTGTCTTGGCACCGATCGCACCGGCGCCATCGAGTTCCGGATGCTCAGCGAGGACCGAGTCGAGGATGCCCTGGTCGTGCAGCAGCTTTCCATGCGGCAGGAGTGCATCGCGATCGGTATGGGCATGTACGAGGATCCCGGCGCTCCCGAAGAGATGCAACTGGTCTTCAGAGAGGTCATCAAGGACGGGTGTACGGTGATCGCGGTCGATCGATCGGACCGGATTGTCGCCGTGGCGTTCAACAAGTTACACGCAAGTATAGAAAGCGCGCGCGCGCGGTCTTAAATAATCGGCATAAATAAATCGATGTAAATACGACTTTATTTATACCGATGGCATATCGCAGATTTTATCTGTCACCGCCTGATGATAAAAATAATTCGTCGCGGCTCGTACCGCTTTCGCGATTAACGATTCGCGATCGACTAATTTACTAGATTGATACTTCCTTCAATTATCACAAACGATGATCACAATATCATAAGTATCGGTACGAGACGATTTTTTAAATGATTAGATAAAAAAGATTGCATGTTCTATCATTTTGTGATCACGGCGGTATCAAAATAAAGACAATTTGTATCAAACTGGAAGGAAAATCAATTGTTTTATTTCTTATTTCGCCGATCTTTGAAAAATGCCCATTTATGTCTTTAGACACCTCCCCAGCCGGAAGACACGGATCCCTTCGCATTTTTTGTAGAAAATAACATCAAGCATCGCTCGTGCCGGGATCTGATTGAGTTCATCGACGACGTAAGTTTGTGATTTATATCATTTTATACGCTGTAATCAACAATGTCAACACGAGTGCTCCAGTTTCCTTTTAGATCTTAAAATTCTTTCGCAAATAACGATAAGCTTTCTGTAGCTATCGCGATTGCTTCTGCGCGTACTATTAATTAATCTTCGGAAGGCCGTTTGCACGCAATACCACCTCGTTCAAAGAATTTCTTGTTTACGCGTCATAATTTCCAGCGCCTTAGTGACTTTCATATCTTTATCAATCAAATCTAGCATTATCAATTGCACTTGAAATAAGATTTAAAATCTTTATTGTTTTTCATATCCAAATACACCAAACATCAAAATATTTTGATTTTACATTACAAAAGAAAATGTAAAAAAGATTCCGTCGAAATTTTTTTGTGAGATATTATATAATTAATGTAGAAAAAGCGCATTGATTGAATTTACAAATAAATTGACAAAGTCGCATTCTTTTCCTCTAATAGTCAAAATCAAAGTCACTTTCAATAGTCACTCTCAATAGTCACTTTCTAATCTAATCTAAGTAAGTTCCTAGTCTCTACGTATAAATCTCAGAAATGTGTGCAGCGTATTCCAATAAGTTTATCGCTTGCCAGGAGTGCTGAATCACGATACTCTCGTTATCAGGTCGAATCGCGAGTGGACATCTTCGAGAAGTACAACGCGCGGGGCGCTATGGAAATCTTCTATATAGGCACAAATCCGAAGTGTCAGGAGCAAGGTATCGGCTGGCAGATCACGGAGAAGAGCCTCGAGGTGGCGCGGGGCTTGCGCGCCCGGAAGCTGAAGCAGATCTGCGTAGCCGACGAGATCGTCAACGAGCACGTGCGACCGGAGGTGGTTTTCGCCGTCGCCGCCTCGTTGTTCAGCCAACGAATCATGGAGAAGCTGAACTTCGAGACGCTCGCCGAGGCGCGATACGAAGATTACGTACGCGCCGGCAAGAAGATGTCCGACAGGATAGGTCACGTGCACAAGACGGCCAAATTGACTGCCCGTAAGCTATGATGACGTAGGGCTCTCATCCTTAAGTTAAAATAGAAGTATTACTAGTATTAGTAGAAGTATTACTAGTTTTACGAAAGAATAATTTGCAGCATGCTGTAATGCCATTAATAGAATGTATTAATAGAATGTATTATTTATACAAAATAATACAAATAGTAATGTTAGTTATGAGCGCGTTAATCAATTTAAAATTATAAACATATTGAAGTTAAAATGTACAAAAACTGTTGAGAGATTAATATTATGAATTATATAAAATATTTATATCTATATACACAAAGAAATCGGCGAAAATAAAGCTTGTGTTACGTACTCATTACTTTGTAAATTATTAAAATTTATAAATTACTGAAAATATATTGCAAATTATTTTTGTTAGTCAGCTCCTGAACAGCAGTTTCGAAAACTTTATCCCATCCATTGGTTCATTTTTTCAACATTGTAAAAAAAATTTGTAAAATTGCACAACAAAGTGCACAAATTATTATTGCATACATTTTTATTATAAATTATATTATTATTAATTTTTACACTTATATGTAATTTTACACTATTTTTATAGTGCGCTAATTATAACGCGAACAAAGAAAGATTTCATTAACCAATTTATTCTGACTGACGTTGACAAAATTAATCATAACTGATGAATTATTTGGATAGGAGAAAAGATATACAACAATGACTTTTTATATAAGTATATATATGTATATTAGCACATTTATATATCATATACCGACGACCGTTAGAAAATGCTCACAACGGCGATTCCGCGGAAACGGCATCATAATTCTGAGCGAAGCTTCTGCCCAACACACATAGATTATAACTGCAATATTGCAGCAAAATTGTAATATTCCAGCTATTTTGCAAAAATATTACAATGTTGCCGCAATATTGTAGTTATAATCTGTGTTTACTGGGTGGTTTCTGTGTATTATCTTCCACAAAATTTACGTGAGACGAGTGATACGACGTGCGTTGTCAACAAATTCCAAACGAAATATCGGACGACAAGTGGGATATATTATCCTCGATAATTCACAATCGGTCGGACTGCCGCGGTCACGTCTACAAGTGTTCAACAAAGTCGCAGAAGACGATAACAGTTACATACGAATAATACAATGTTAACTTTCGCACGTATTCCGCGGATATTTAACACGTTCACAACAGCTGACGACGGAATCATTGTGTTTATAGAAATGATTAAGTCTATTGCTTACGATATTTGTCTCCGTGTTTTGAGAAACTGTCAAGTTTAATTACCATTAACGGCCACATCTTTTTCCTAAAACTGATACGTGTGTCGTTTTCCCTGAAGGCTTTACAATCGGAACTTTGCACGATGCTTTTTATCGGGAAGACACCCAGTGTATATAATAAGATTACTAATAAAATCGCGTTAAAGCGTCGAGATCTGAAGAGAATGCCGTACGAGACACGACGTACGTCTACTATCATTCTGACATCGTCGGACGAAAAACTTGCTATTCCATTTTTTACTTCTTATTTAATAACGCTTTGTCTAACATTTTTATAGTATTTATCGTGAAAATCCTTGTGTCATGTCGAAAACGTTAATAATTTAGTAAAAATAATATAATAAATAAAAAATAATACATTGCTATATACAATACATCAGTGCTATAAAAATTGTTGATGAATATTTCGTTATTTGCTTTATGATAAATATCTAAATTTTTTGTCTTTCTGGGAAGGAGTGATTTTTTTGTCTTTCATTTTCGTCGTATAAGGAAATTAAAAATATGACACAAGAATTTTCGTAGCTTATAGAAATTGGCAACGGATATTAATTGGAAGCATTACAATTTACGTGCAAAAAATGCAGGTACGCATCGAAGAGATCAACAATCCCGATTTGCAAAATGATTTACAATCGTTTCTAACTTCTTTTATGTCTAGGCAATTTTACTCAACACGACATACATCGAGGAGACGGAGACGAAACTGACGCGAAACTTTGCATCACAATGGAATGTAATAATAAGTATATCAAAATCGAAAATAACACTTGTTGCAAAATCGATTGAGTGTTCGGAGTCGCGACGAGAGGAAGTTAATATGACTAAATTATTGCATCTCAATGTGTAGCTATGTGAAGAGTCAAATGTGTAACGCGAATTTTGCATCTCCGTTTCAGTCTCGTTACCGGAATCGAATAAAAATGAACGAAGGGTTGAGTCTAGCAATTTTTCAAATTGCGCTTCAATTCCTTCATCTGAACTCTTGTATGTGTATAGCTAGAGTATATTAATTGTGCGACGTACATATTGGCATCTATAAATAAATTGTATATTTATATGCTACGCGCCGCATTTTCGTTCAAGAATTAACAAATATATATACAAGGTGAATACTATTGATACTAAGTAATGTAAAAGAAAAGAAAGATTTAAGGGATGAATCCTCACACAAATTCAAGACGAAAACTTCATATGCTCGAAACGACTTAGTTTTAAAGATACAAGATATCAAAGTTGAAGAAAAAATTTCACTTTTTTCAAACATTTTGAAAACTTGATTATTTTGATAAAGCTTGCTGTATGGAGTTTTATCAATGTAACTTGAATTCTTTCGACAGTTGAAGAAAAATTTCGTTTTTTTCAAATATTTCGAAAACCACTAATTTGATGAAACTTGAAACATACACAAAGCTTTATCAAAATAATATAAATGGTTTTCAAAATTTTGGGGAAAAAACGAAATTTTTCCTTCAACTTTGACACCCTGTATCTTTAAAACTAAACTGTTTTGAATATACGGTCATATATAATTTTTTTTTTAATTCGTGTGAGGAATTACCCCTTAAATCTTTTACATTACTTAGTATCCACCCTATATGTGTATTGGATCATTCAAAAAGTTCTACGATTTTCACGGGGACAGGTTCAAGTGATACTGTCATGTACGGTACTTTTTGTAATTTTTAATTTCTTTACCAATTTTTATACTTTAACGTTTAACGAGGATTTTCGGCGATAGCTGTTTCAATAGATCATCATCCACACAGTGCAGAGACGCCCAGATCGCGTTTCATCTATGCGAAATTATCTTGTTGAAATTTCAAAAACTATCTCTGAACTGTATCATCAAAAACAGTACCTTGTCCGTAAACTTTACAAATTTTACGCGCTGTCTCGCGTGTGTTCTAGCCCTTTCTGAAGTAGAAAAGCATATAATATTGCAAAAATAGTTGTTTCTGATTCTCCATCTTTAGAGCACTGCACTTTAAAGTACTATATGGTAAAATCAGGCGCGGATTTACGTATTTTGCCGCTTGGGGCTGAAAAGTAGCTGCCGCCTCTTGTACAGGTAGTGAAAATTAAAATTTTTATAAAAAATGCATAACGCGATCTGAACCTCAGCCGTACGCCGCCGCTGAAACGCGGTCCTGCGGCACGAAGCGCCGCGACAGGCGGCAGAATCGGCCGGGGCGCGTCATGTCTCCATATTTTGCCGCCCCTAGATTTTGCCGCCCTGGGCTATAGCCCGTTAAGCCCCTATAGTAAATCCATCCCTGGGTAAAATCAACTGAATCGAATGACTGAACATACGTCATTATGAATGGATGCATTAATCGTTTAAACAAAAAACTGCTCCTTCTTACCAACCTGAAGTTTGGGCTTCCTCATTTGGAGTATTAGCGCAAAATTCAAACTGCGGGTATCCGCGCAAACGTGGAAAAATCGCAGAACTTTCCGGACGATCCAATACATACGCAGAAACTTGTTCTCGTTTATGTTTAAAATTGAGGACCTTGGCACAGTAAAGAATTGTTTTAAGTTTCGCGAAAACCACTCTCTGAATTTTGGAAAATTCACAGATGTTGTGAGAAATGAAGCGAAAACTTTGTTGAAAGTTAAAAATAAAGAGATGCTAAAGTTTCCTTTCTGCTGAAGAAAGCTCGTAAACCGATCTCGCCGATCTTCGGTTTCTTTTTTTCTTTTTTCCTGCGCCAAAGCCTTTCGATTAATTATATTTACGTTGGACACAGCATGAGAGAGTATATTCAACTTCATTACGTTGGCTACTACTATATGACATTCAGCGGTAGTCGATTTATCGACGAAGCTACTGACTGCAACAAGGAGAGAGTGGCGTGCTAACTTTATTATCGTTGCACTCAGTCAGCGCCGTTTAGTTAGTCACTTACTTTCCCTTAAAACGCCTCGCCATTACTACTACTGTAAAAAATGTGGACGTATAGCTGGTTTTTCCTTCCCCCGTATAGAATACGATATTGACACACTTCCAACAAAGTTAATAATCTTCCTCTGGACTTACGGTCTACTTAACTTTACAGCCTGAATTCAATAATCGCTGTCAACGAGCTACGCCGCGTGTCGCGATCCGACACACCTGACATTAAATAACGACATTTACACGTTATTACTATTGTTATTATCTTATCATCGTTATTATTATTATTATTATTATTATTTCGAAATAGTAATGCGAGCACTATGCAAACGCGTGGAATACTTAGCTTAAGTCGAGTCGCACGAGACTCGAGTGAGTTTTTGGCACGAATATCCCTTTTTCTTTTTTTCATTCCTCCGTGAGATCGCTCTGAGCCACTTTTGAACTTTTGATTTTTCTTTTTGTTCTTTCGGAGAAATTTGATTATTTAGTAATTTCACTCCGGGGAGAAGGAGGAGTTATAGGATGATAGGAAGTAAAGTTAGGAAGACAGGAAGTAAAGAATTAGTTCCGTAAAAATTTAGGATAGCCGTCAGATGTTTTACGGTTAAAAGAAATAAAAGTATAAAAACGTGAAAAAAGTAAAAAAAAAATTATAAAAATAATTTTTGTTAGATTTAATAATTTGAATATTTTATTAAATTAAATTAATTAATTAATTTAATTTTAATTCTTTTATTTGATAAAATTTTAAAAAATTATGAGAATAATTTCTTAATAAAATAAAAATTATATCAGGTTGTAAGTAAAACATTTATAGGATGGATACTAATCATGCATTTCGAGAAAAACGTTAATATTAAATATATTATCAATGTTTTTACAATTTGTAAAAGACGAGAATGTAGGAAGCGGCAGAAAATTTGAAATACTGAATGAGACCGCGCGTAACGTTAAAACAAAAATCGATATTTATTATGATCCAATAGAGAAATAAGAACGTGACGAGTTTACGAACGTTCGATAAACATAATTTTATAACGAAAAGATCACACATAGAAAACTTTCCAAACTAACTCTTTTCATTGTAAAATATGTACTTACGCAATTTCAATTATACTTATAAACGAAAGACGTGCCCCACGTGTCTTCGTGGACATCGACGGGAAGAACGCGGTCACGCGTAATTGGCACTCTGATTAGCGAAGAGAAAGAGACACGCCTTGGTGGGGAATTTTTGCTAACGACTCGTAAACGGGCCGGTTAACGTTATTTGGAAACTTCCGTGGACGAGTTTTACAGGTTGATAGCAGGGGCGAACGCAAGTTAACCGCGCGCGGCCAGGACCCAACTATAGTTTCGTAACAGTTTGTGCGCTCAAGTTACTGGACAGAGTAACGTGTTCTAAACGTTAGCGGAAACGTAGCAGGAGGGAAAAAGTACACACACGCATACGCACACACGCACGCGTACGCGCGTCGCTCTCGCTCTTATCACTTTATTATTCTATTTCCAACGTGGAAGCTGCAAACTCCGCGACTGGCAACCATAATTGGACGGCTCTATCGCGAGTCTTTCTACCGTTGGCTGAATTGCAGCGTGTCGTCTACGTCCGTGTGCACAGGGTTGCGAATATTGCTCGATGCGCGAATCGAAGCTAAGGCTCACGATCCGACTCGATTTTCTCAAGATTCAACTTTGTCAAGGGAGTCTCCGTATCTGCTTTCCTACTTGACGATACATCAGTATTAGCAAATTCCCGTGAGACGTTTAACAGAGATTAACTATCTGACTGGCACTGGAGAGAGAAAGAGCGGAAAATTGTCATTAACTAACTTAAATTAGTATCTCTGATTTAGGTAAATAATTACGATGTAATAAATTTACATGTACAGATTGTAATGAGATCTTCTTTGAAAGTCATTTCCCAGCCAACACAGATTATAACTACAATGTTGCAGCAACATTGTAACATTCCAGCTATATTGCAGAAATATTACAATGTTGCTGCAATATTGTAGTTATAATCTGTGTTTGTTGGGATTATTATTTGCAAGTGTTGTAGTTCATTTCTAGAGAAATGAAACAATATATTTTTGGCACCTAGGAAGAAATGCTCGTAATGACTTTTAAAAGAGTTGATTAAAATGTACCGGTTTATTAATCGGTATCATCTCGAAATTGGTCGCCGTATATTTCACTTTCGGCATTTATTTCGAAAATGTTCGAGTTTAAGAATAACGACGTTGAAGAAGAAAGTCAAGTATTACATAAGATTGGAAAGCCCGTAACTCCTGTGCACACAGGTTCGCTAGCTAGAAACATACTTTTTCGGGCCCTTATGCCTCGCTATCTCTCTCTCTCTATCCCGATTCTCAACACGTGTAATTTAAACTTCTCTTCGAAAATATAATATAAAACATCTCGTTATCAAAATAAAATATAAATCGGCTATAACGTTGTCTCGCGCGCGCGTGACGGCGCGGACGTTCGCGTTTGGCAAATATACGTAGGAAGCATCGATCGCTTTCTTTCTCCTTCCTTCCCCGCGCAACCCTTCTTTTTTTCGCGTAGGGGTAGTTACCAATATTGCCGCTTTTTCTTATCACAAATGTGCGCGCGCGCGCGCACGGCGCTTTTTTCGCAATCGGAAAATGAATTTTGCGGGCGGGCGCGCGCGCGCGCAAATTGCATTTAAAACAATAAACATCGCCCAAAAATCTTGGACTGATTTTCTTTTTACAATGTCAACTAATTCTGGCACTACTTTGATTTTTGCGATGAAAATTTTAATCTCAACTAAATTAATTGATTTCAAATTTATGTCTATAATAAATATTATTTAATATAATAAAATAAAAAATGCTGTAAAAAATTATTCTAAAATAAATTAATTATCTTCTTTATAATATACATATATACATGATCTATCCCAAAAGTAAGGAGACTATTTTTGGCGGCAAATTAGAATTGTTGAAAGGCGAATCCATTAGACGGGATCTTTGGTGCGGGATGTCAGATATACAATCTGACCCTTCTCAGTTGCTTCCAAATCTTTCTAGCAGTCGATACTGTCAGCAAAGTGCGTTGTAATTCTTGTCACGGGAAAAAATGCAGCACAGTCTTGAGCAGCGTTACGCGATCAAATTCTGAAGATAAAGCAGCGTCTTCATAAGCTATTCTTAACATATATCTCCAACGTTTTGGAATCAGATTTTCCCAGTTTCACGCAGAATTTGATGGTTACGATCGAACTGTGCTGAATTTTCGCTTGTGACAAGACACAAAAGTTACAATGCACTTTGCTGTTGGTATCGACTGCTAGAAAGGCTCGGAGGCAACTGAGAAGAGTCAGACTGCATCCCACACCAAAAGTACAATGGATCCACCCTCCGACAATTCTGATTGGGCCGCCAAAAATAGTCTCATTACTTTTGAGACAGACCATGTATATACATATATTTTTTTTGTATTTATATTCTTTTATAGAATTAAATTAATTTTTTAATATTATTTTATTTCTTAAAAGAAAAAGCGAATTGCGTTACGGCCAGAATTAACTGACAAATGTCAACAGCCGTTTGTCGATGCATATGTACTCTTGCACATAAATCGACGTAAAACGTATCGACGAACGCGTCCGAATCGAAGATCTCATTTTACCTTAGTGACCTCGCGAACGAAGGAAGAGCATCGGTGCAATTTGGGAACAATTGACAAAATATATCTGTCAAGTGTACAACAATAACATTATTCCGGCTCGGTGTTTGTCTCGTTTACCTCGTTCCGTCCCGATCGATTCGACGTGAGAGCAACGGCTTATCATCGGCACCCGTCGAATCGATCAGAATTTATTTCCGTGAATCACCGCACGTGATGCCGACCTCGTCACGAGGCCAGGCTAGGTGCTACAGAGAGATTCATCTGTGACAGGCCTCGTGCGGCTGGATGTCGGGCGGCTGGATGGTCTGGTAGGGAAGCTGGGTGTCTCTGAAGTGCGATCTGACCAGCAGGCCCAGACCGAGCAGCACGACAGGAAGACCGAGCAAGGCGCAGATCAGCTCGCCCGTCACTCCCGGCGACCAAGTAATGGAACCTGTTTCAACGGTTTCCTCAGAACTTCGGCTTTTGCAATTACGTGCTCGCAAACAATCGCTCTTCGAAGAGCATTATATAGCGAGGTCTGTGACAAAGTGACACGCGCGACACACATGCCACGGGGAATTCATAAATGAATTTGTAACAAAATTTATAAGAATTAGAGGAGTGACGTTACTCTTTGAAAATTTAAAATTCAGACATCTAGTTTATGTGAATAAAACTCCGATTTCGAATAATAACTTGTAAGAGGAACAAATTAAAATAAATTAATAGAAATTTATCTCTGCTGAATTATAAGCATCCGATTTTCGGAGATTATTCGTAACTCCAGAAAATACATTTTCATGAACCACGCTTGATTCGTTTATCTCTCTACGGGGCTGATTTCTCCTTTAATATTTATGTCGCACAAAGTTTCGCGAGGCAAATCGCGCTGGAAAATTGAAGCTAAAGCTACAACATCTCATTGCACTGCACGTATTTACCTCCGATATCCATCCTGAAAATGCTCCACCAAATACCGGACAGCGGAAGAGAAACGGTCGCGGTGGCCACGCTGAACACCGCGCTCTCGCATAACGACAGGAAGTTGAGGATCGAAATCGCAAAGACGACGTAAGCGAATAGGAAAGTCCATCCATGGCTGGAAACGTTCGCGCACAGATTACCGCCTTTGAAGTGACACATCAGTCCACGTTCGACAGTACGATAGAGTTCAACGGGTGACAGACCCTGGAACGCCATTTAAAAAAATATGTTTTAAACGAAGCATTTGTTTCATTAAAGCTCTCCATAGGAAATATAGGAAGATAGAAAGATATTTACTTGTTTCTATAAGTTTTAAAATTCTACAATTATTATAATAATGGTTATAATGGATTTGCACCCAAAAAAAAATAATTTTAATATCAGTGGAATCCGCTAAATTTTAGAGGATTTTATTCTTGTATATAGCCTCAAGAGGAATCCTCTGAAATTAAGAGGAAAATATTCTGTGCACAATATTCTGATAGTTAGAATAATTTCGTCTTGCATTTACAATACAAATCTTGTACTGTAAATCTATATTTATAATGCACATTATTTGTACTGTAGTTTTTTAGTATGTACGATGAATAACGGAACGCAGTCTTACTGCGTCTGTTTTTGCAAATGCAGCGCAACACTTCAATCAATTGTTGCAAAACGCAGCGATACACATTGCTTTTCCTGTTACTCGTATCGCATGTAAGAGAGCATTTTGCTTGAAAAAAATATATTCCTCTTAATACAAGAGGAAAACCAAAAAATAATATCTAATAGATTTTAGATGAACAGTTCACTTTATTGGAACAGGAATACTCTTTCTATAAAAGTTTTTGTTTAAAATATGGGATTAGAGGAAATTTCACTTTATAACTAGAATATTTTTTTTTGGGTGTGGCTTTCCATCAACTTTGAGAAAATGAGTTAACATTAAAAATTCCAAATTATAAAATTTAAAATAAGGTGCAGCGGGGTAATTTGAACAGTGAGGAAATTTGGATAATAGTAAGTATTTGCAAGAATTTTAGAAAAATAAGAGATTTTAAGATACATTTCATTATATCAGACATTAAGTATTACAAAAAAAAATGCTCGATTGAATTGGAGTAAAAAGAGCATGAAACAAGCTGTTATAGTTATTATTGATGGTGTGATCTCGGTTTTAAAGGCTGCATAACTATTTCATGTTCCATACAGAAAAATACAATCTAAACAAAACCAAATATGATGAAAATAAAGTTCCTAGAACTTCTATTGGGCATCCCGCTGTATTTAGTAGCGTTTTAGACAACTTAAGAAAGAGTTAAATATCTCGAAGCCAGAGGTTCTCTTACTAATTTTTGTTTAATTTTGTTTGAAAAGTGCAATTTAATATTTAAAACACAATAGATAAATATAATATTTTACTTTTATTATAATATCAGTGTTAAAAAGTTTATTTATGTTTGTACTTAAAATATTGGGACTAACATGATCATTTTATGTTTTTCTAATTTGTGTTTAATTTGATCTGGAAAATATAATAAAATGTTTAAAAAAACATTTGAATATAAAATTTAGTTTTTATTATAATTTTAATGTTCATTTTCAATGTTATTCAAATTATCCCTCAAAATTGACTTTCGTTAAAATTGTAGGGGTAAATCGGATAATGAGTTGCGTCTCAAAATTTAAATCATAATTTCTCATATATTGGGTAAATATTCTTTAAACATGTGAGTTTTGAGTTTTCTGCTACATATTCAATTTAAGGATAAAATTATTACTTTTTGAAAAATTGTTGAAACAGTTTAAAATTACTCAAATTATCCCGCTGTACCCTACAATAAAAACACATTGAATCAGTTCCATATAAAAAATGGTTTTTCTCTGGTATAGATTCAATTGCAAATTTAAGATACTTGATGTAGACTATATAGAAAACTGACGATTTTTATACTGTTAAAGCTTTTCAAGAGTAAAAAAAATTCTCCAAAAATTGACTAGTCGTCGATAATGGTATAATAGATAAATGATATGTCTTCCTTTTTCTGCCACTCACCCTGCCTACGCCGGGCAAAGTGTCAAGCCAGCAGAGCGTCAGAATGGCGAAGAAAGCGATGACGTGTATGTAAAAAAGAGTTTGCATCACCGGCGGCTTGGGATAGCTTTTCGGTTTTATCGTGGGATCCGGATCGGTCACGTGCAGCAATCGACCGCCCTCCTCCTCGGAGCCGCGACGACGGATGTCGCGAGAGGACACCAGACGGGACACCGTGTATAGGAAAGAGCTGTGCTGCGTTGTCAACATCTGGCATACGTTCTGCTGCTGAAAGCGAGAGAGATCACGGACGTCACTCGCTCCACCGAAAACCAGTCGTTCGGAAGACGTGAACGAAAATCTGACGACCGAAAAACTAATTCGTCAGACGAAAAACCGACTTGTCCGCAAATATCCGAGAAAAAAAAAGACATTTCTGGGTCGTCCGTTACGCAGAAACGATCTGCGACAAATGGCGCTTCTTTCCATAAATATTACATAATTGGCGAATGAGTGAAAAATCTCGAGGTATTTTTCTTCCTCTTCTTTTACTTAATAAAAATCCCGTTTCTTCGACCTTCGCTGACAAGGGTTGAAATTAGAAATTCTCCCGAGATTGATTTTAATAAAAATTGCGCCGGTATATATCATCGGAGAGGCCACAGTCGTCCACAAATAAACCGCGATTTGCGCGAGAGAATCGTCGATGATAAATTACCTCGGTGGTGTAATGGCGTTCGAGCATGGTGAAGAACATGGCGAAGGCAGCAAGAGCGCCCACGTAAACGAACGTCCAAACCACCCGGGCGCCCCAGGATCCCCTCATGGCGCCAGCCGTGTGCGAAGAAACCTCCCTTCCCCGACAACGGAACTCGTCGCAGAGACCGTAATCGACGCTTATGAATAGACCCACTATTATGGTCGTGCTCGAGAATATTCGCTGCAGGCTCATCACTGAAAACATTCAAGGGGAAGAATACGCTCGGCATTCCGTAAATCTGCATACAACGGAGGGAAAGAAAATTACATCTCGGAAAGTAATAAGAAACACTATCTCCCAAAAATATTCTCAGAATAATTTAAAAAAAAATTAATTTCAAAAATAGTTTCTCTCATTATTCTAAGACTAACATACCGAGGAATTATCTTAAGGAGTTACAGCATCCTTGAGGCTTCAAAATGATATCTAAGTTTAGGATTTTTTTGTGGGTAAATAGATAAACTCTATTTGAAAGCCGTTTAGAAGACATTGTTGTGCATATATAAGATACAAAATGTGCATATATAAGATGCAAAACTAAAAAAATATTTGTTTATTTTTTTATGTACAAAATTGTAGCACACTAACCTACTTGCGAAATCCCTTTTTTCTGTTTTTTTTTTTTTAATCGTACAGGTACACGGTTTGACCTTTTATAAAACACAAAAAATTTTCATTATCTACATATTAAAGACTATAGAAGTACTATACGTAGGGATTTTTTAAAATATTGATTTTTTTCGAAATAGCAGCTATTTTTACGAAAAGTTTGTATTTTTGTCAATACAAGTCTTTCGTAAAATATGCCATTTTGAGAAAAATCAATATTTTGAAAAATTCCTACGTAAGAAAAGAGGGGGGGCAAATAGTGTCACTTTAAATTTCTCCTGTTTTCCGCGTCTATTTTATCACTACTCGTTAATAAAAAGAGTTCTCAAGCATCTAATCATCTTCTGAAAAAGCCGTAAAAATCAAAAACCAAATAGAGCTAGCGGAGAAGTTTAAAATTTTGCATTCGTGAAAATAAGGTAAAACCTTTCTTTTCTGATATTTGAAGTTATATTTCCTTATTAATTGCTGAATCGTTGAATGAGATCTGACCTATTCTATGTCCTACCTATTCATACGGTACATTTTTCCTCTATTTTGATATAATTCCTATGTTTGTATATTAATTTTATTTTTCTCAGTAAAGTTTTAAAGAAAAAAGTAGCTCCTGGAGCAAATAATGACAATTTTTAGTTAGATAAATAATGACAAGTCAAAAAGCTTTTTTAATATTTGAATATCATTTTTTTCATTTATTTGGGATTATATACGATTAATCACAAGGCAAGATCCAGAATAAATGTGATTTTCAATAAGAAATACTAGCAAATAATGTTATTACTATTATTTATCAATAAATAAAAATTTACATATGGCAAAGTATAGAAATTAATATAAATTACCTAATCAAAATGTCAAAAGAAAGTTTGATTAGGAGTTAAAAATTATGTATTTTGTAATTGTCCCATAGGGTGTCACTATTACTCATAGGTTGAGGCAAATAGTGACAAATATAGGTTTCAGTTTTTATAAAAATCTAGCCCGTATACATGACTTATGGAAACTCTAATTAAGTTTTTTGTATATTTGAAAGTGGAAAGTACTCTTTTAGTGAAAAATCATATCTTGTATACTTGAAATTAGCTTGTAGGAAAGAGAAGAAAAAATCCGTCACTA